ATCGGACGTGTTGTTGATATCATGTGATGTTAAATGTTCTGTCGAGTGGCGTACGCGTACGCTCTCAAATTCGCTACGTCACGTGTGCCCCTTCGTGATCGGGCGATAAAAATCGCTATACGTGTGCCCCTTCGTGATCGGGCGATTAAATTCGCTGGCAACTTTAATCGCCGCGATCGGGCGATAAAAATTGCTCGTGTGCCCCTAGCATAAGAATGTGCGTTAGTTCAACATGTCTTGATAATAAAACGAAAATTACATGATTAGTTATATTGATCTTTAAAGATCACATCTTGTTGCTCATTAAGAGAATAGTTCTACTAAAAAGATAATTGTCGTAGTCAGAATGAAGGTTGCACATTTACTCAAAAGTGCCTCAAATACCATCTCCTGCGATCTACATTTAAAAAATTTCTGGGGGGGGAGCCCCAGACAACCCCCCCCCCGCCTCTAGGAGTATACATCCATTTCACCCTAGCTACGCCCCTGTAATGGGACGCCGATATGGCGAGAGTAACTAATTAACTCACTGTCGTGATAGTGAACCTTATAGTGACACTTTGTGGCAGTTTCCGGAGCTACTCAATAAAAACATCTGCTTTAAAATGGTTTATACCTACATATGTACGTATAACTGTGACAGAGGCACGCATACAGCAACGTCCACCAGCTTTCCAATATTGCCATGGTTCGAAAGTGCGTTTCCCTAAACCTTTCAGACCTTTCCATCGCAGCACAATGTTAAACTCGTTTAGCTTATCGCATTTGCCCTGTAGGTGCACTTATGATTAATAGGTTTACACTCAAACTTATTATATGCAATTGCGCGCACATAATCTGGTGTGCTACTGCTGCCTAGCAATATAACCCATGCATTTATTATACGAATACAGTCATTTTGATATTCATGTTGTATGCAATCATACTCGGGTCATATCTGTGCCAGCAATCAGCTTAATTTCCAGCTTTAATATTTTGACTCTTAATATTTTCACCTTTACTAAATTGCGAGGTTGTAATATTGTTCTTTACGTTGCAGGAGTTTCACTATGCATTCGAAACTTGTGGGCGACATCGTGGCTCTGCTGCTGCTCGCTGTAGCGACGCTAGCGAACAATAGGCTGCCAGGAATTCAATACCTGCAAGAGACACCCACCGATATCACGCTGACGTGGACGCAGTCAGATAGACAAGTTGCGAGCCTCGAGCTCGAGTACAGAAGCGTGCAGCCCGGTGCGGAAACGGAATTAGTGAAGACACCGCTCGAACCGAGTCAATCTGCGTACGTGATCGCCGGGCTCAGTCCGGATACGTGGTACCTGGTGTGCCTGGGCGCCATCGCCAGCAACATGGAGGACACGCGGCGCATGTGCGAAGTGAAGAAGACGATGCTCGTCAACGGCTCACTCAGCGACACGCACCTATTCGACTGGGAGACGCACGTCTACCACGACCGCGTGCGCGTCGCCTTTTACCCGAAAGCGGACGTGCCCTACGACGCGATGAAGTTCACCGCCGACCTGTACGTGAAGACGCAGAACCCGAAAGTGCTCGAGCGGCCGACCGTCAACTGGCTCAGCGATCGCGACATCGAGTTCAGCGGCGCCGGCGTGCAGCCGAACACCGAGTACCGGCTGTGCGTCGGCGTCGAGGCGGCCATGAGCGAGGTCGCGGACGTTCACACGACCGACGAACGCTGCGTGCCTCTGTGGACAGCGAAGACGCCACCGCCGACGTCCCCGCCTCAGCCAAACAGTGCGCAAGTGTTCGTAGCGAATATGGTAATCTTCGGCTCCGTGCTACTGCTTTTACGCGTCGCGTATTAGCCACGTACGAAAGCTCCTCGTCGGAATTGCGCGATCGAAATTCCGTCGAGATTAGGAATTAGTAAAATTAATATTCAGGTAATAATTGTGCGAGCGAGTTAAAAAATATTCATTAGTATCAATCTTGGAAAGAGATTATTCGAACACCAGCAGTCCTATAGTTGCATACATATGGTAGGTACAACCCGCTGCAGTAAATTTGAGATTTTTTTGGTTTCTTGGGGTATTTTATGGCAATACGATTGCAATACAAACATGATTACTGACGTAACATGTTAAATTTCACCCATGGGAAGCAGTAGCCAGTTGTTACTTTATTAGTTTATACAATCAATAGTTTAATAATATCAGGAGTAGATAATAGGGAATTCCCTATTATCTACTCCTGATAATATATAACCTACTGATATGATAGGTTGCGTCAGCGTGCATTTTATATGCACCCAGCCTGGCGCGTGTCTCTAATATCAATCAATACATTCCTGAACAACGGACAGATATCATTGCAATGCACTGAGGGTTAGCTTTTGCCTGGTCATCATTACCTGTGAATGTTGGCCTGTATGTAGTACAGTTTCTTTTTGTATAAATAGCTAAATTAAGGCATATCATTTGTCACAGTATATACATCGATTGGGATATGTAAAAACCTAAGGGTACGTACCTCTTTTACCAGTATGCTGGGATTGTTTATTTATGTAAAGTTGGCTTTATGCAACTTTATTGTTATAGTTCAACATAATGTCACATATAATGTCATATATATAATGTCAATATATAATGCCATATATGTCATTATACTCACACATATGCCTCATATGGCACATGTATAGATCTCCATGTGATGGTAAATACCAAGTAAATGATAATAGAAAACATCGTAATCGTGGATAGTTTATAGTGTGTAACCGCTATTGCTGTAGCCTATAACTAAACCACCCGACTGGAATACAGTTCTTTCCTCGTGGTAATCATGGTTTTTAACAACCTTATTTCAACGTTCCATAGGTCTCTTCGTTATTACGCCATCTCGTTATTATTAATATTAGTATAGAAACTGTACTACAACTTTGTGACAAAATCGTAATCAAACACGTGCTGACATCTAGTGGGTAACGTCGCTGTGTAGTTACATTTTATAATAGCCAAGTAGTATCATGAACGTATTATGGACTTATTATTATTAGTATCAAGAGCGTATAAAGAAGAATTTACCTTCTTTATACGCTCTTGTTAGTATACATAGACATGATAGTATAGTATTATCAAGAGTACATAATAGAGTACATAATCTATTATGTACTCTTGGTATTATATATCATAGGTGTATAGTAGACAGAGATTCATGGTAGTATCACTCCTGGTAGTATCACTGTGTAGAATGGAAGTATTTTGTGCGATTGATAATGGAGAAAATATTTCATCTATTCTATAGTGTTAAAACGAATGTCAATGAATCACTTGTCAAGAACTGCCATTTCATATTTATTTAGGGTAGGCCGGCGAACTACATCATAACAATGGAAATTAAGCCACAGAACAATAGGTCAATGTTCCAAGTTTATATATATATATATATAATATTATATGGTATATTTATATATACTATCACATGTGCTATGTCCCTGGCGCGGCAGCACACTTAACCTTTTCGTTGCGGGTACAGGCCAATTTTCGTGGTCAGGCAATTTTTGTGGCGTTGCGCGTCACAGCACATCGCCACACAAGTTGCCATACGAGCAATTTCGTGGTGAGAATCAAACCGGTTTTGACTTTTCGGCAACTCGTTCCACTAATTTCCGTGGCGGGTGGTGTTGGACGACCGCACACTTGGCCATTTTTGTGGCGACACGAGTTGCGAGATCAAACCGGTTTTGATTTCTTCACCAGAAAAATTGCTCGTTTGGCAATTTGTGTTTGTGATCGATGGGCCTGTGACGCGGAACGGCCCAAAAAATTGGGCCGAACACGGAAAACAACCTCCAAAAAACTAAATAATGCCTGTACGGCAACAAAAATGGTGAGGGTTGCTGCTAGTTTAGATCGAAAGGAATATAATAGCGCTATGTTGATACTGTGGGTAGTTTGTACTTTTTTGTGTCTTAATGGTCTTGTCTTTAGGAAAAAATCATGGTTATCATGATTGGAGCCTAGGATTGATGTATTGGAATTATTGAATTTTTATAAGCAGGACGGTTTGCATTGTGCGGATTAGAGATATTTGTTATTCCTTATGCGTTTGTATAGACATAGTTCATTAGGGTAGGTGTGCGTCGCTAAAAAAAAATGTTTTAACACAAAATTCATACCATCATTTACCATAGATGTTATGTTGAGTTTTAATGTGTGCGGCTTTTTGTCTGTTTCTTTGTTGGCGTATATTCCAGAGGGTAAAACGGGGGTGCTTAGAGCATTGCATTCAGATTATGATTAAACTTGTTTATTTAGGTTAGATCAGACATTTCGTGTTTCAGTATGGTACGTATGGTATGATTGTTAACGGAAGGTTCATATTATATTCGACTGCGTTTCAACGGGTAACTAATTTTACACATATATTAGTTTCAATATAGCTGATCAATGCGAGTATTCCCATGCTGCAATAAATATCTGGATGATGACGTTTATTAATTGGTAGGATATTATGTAGGCTAATTTTACCACTATAGATAAAATTTTAGTTACAGCAACGGAGTTTTACTAGATTGTACTAGTCTCTATTCGGGGCATGTTATATAACGCTCCTGGCATGCAGTTTCGTCAGCACACAAGTCTAATGAATGGATGGTGAAGGATCGCTGTTGCATCGCGGGGACTCGCGCATGCTCTCACGAAGGAGGATTATTAATGAGAAGGCTAAATCTAGCTCAAAGTCAATATGTTAAACAATTTTGTGTTAAGATATTTTATTCATTTGTAATGCATTGAAGTAAACTTGGGTTAACGACCAAATATCGCACCTTAACAATAAACTTCGTTAGAGGGCGCGAGGAGCTTGAAAAAAGATAATAATAGATATAAATTAGGAAGCTAATACTATAAAAATTCGTCACGATAAACACAGTGCTTTTTAGAAAAATTGTTCTAACTCGATGAGACAGAAAATTGATGAGATGCAATGGGTGGTTCTACAAGGGTTCAGGATGAGGTTAATGTAACGTTCATGTTCGTTATATAGGGCATTAGGCATAGCTCTAGGTCCACTCATATGATGTTTAGATTCGTCACTTGGTAGAAGAGGGTGGCTTGTCTTTTTTTGGGTAACCCCACTCCCTGTTGTATCGATAACCGCACTGCTTGACGTAGTCAATTATTGACACGGGTTCGACGTTTTATTATTACTTATGACCTTTTCTGTATGTTGTAATGTCTCAGTTCGAACTTTTCACGGGAAAGGCAATAGACGGTTAAATGAGTGGGTGAAACGCCTTAATCATTCGATGCTGTCAATAGTGGGATGAAGTTCTAGTTAATTTGAACCTTTTGTTGTCCGTTTGCTGTTGTTCGCGGCGTTGTTGCGCGACTGTATCTATTTTGTAATACTGTTTAGTGACAGTCGAGTATCATTAATTTTATCCTACTTTTGGAACGTATCTTATGCGAGATGTAATACGGTAACTGATAGATGTGCGTATATAGCTAAATAGATTTGAGTTACGAAAGGAATGAGCGGATAATAACAAAAACACAATTATAGTGCATTAATGTCATGAAAACCGTATCTGTTACATATATATACTATTGCATGCACATTGACAAGAATTATGATGAACGTGTAGTGAGAAATATTCACCGAATTTATATACTTATTATTATATATATGATCGGGTCTATCAATATTGATAGACTCCTGATATTATATATATATAAGCATCTAAATAGTAGCTCGTAGTTAGTTCTTAGTGTTGGTGCAGTGTTAGTGTCGGTATACATGTCTGCTTTAAATGTTAACCACACAATAACTGTTTTTCATAGAATATTTAATAAAATATGTTCTCATAATTTATATAAAATCAATTAATTGCTTTTTAATTTACGCTAACCTACTGAATCATTAGAAACACCGAACCTGGACCAAACTGGACAACAAATAAACTGGACATCTGGACATCCCGTGCTGGATCTTCCTTCATACAAGTACACCTCTCAATTACGCCGTATAACGTGGTAACAAGAGGGAAAACAGGGACAGAAAATAAAAAAACTGATAAAAGCATGCTAAATAAATGTGACCAATCTCAAATAATAAATAATATAACAAAATGATCACTTCAGCGTCGCGTATCCCCGCGGTCGCGTGCGCATATCCCGCGGAACTGCGCGTCTCATCCGCGCGCAGCGCTTATGGATCAACAGCAAAGCTGTGCCACGCAATCTTGTATCATGTCTCTCTGGATGTGGGTTAACTCTTGAAACAATGTGTATACAGTATATAAAGTATTGTGTTTGAGGTTATAGCTACAATGTATGACATAATCTGGATTGAAATGTTTTAAATCAATTCCATGTAGAAATTTATTACATTTGAAACAATGATAACAAATTCTAAGTGAGATCATGACGTAACATTATTCAGCACACATTCAAACGATGTTTTTACGTTGATCAGCGGCAGCAACCAGATGTACTAGCATTATGCCTACAGTTCTGGCTTCCCCGACGGGTTCTGAATAAAACAAAATTTTTTTTAAGACGGGTCGCACCTTTTTATGGTTATAAACTGTAAGGCAATGTACGAATTTTATCATTTTAACTTGAGAGATAAATTAACTGACATCTGTTGCGGGGCAAGATCGTACGGGGTTTCGAGGCAATTTGAGACGCTAGGGCTGGATGCCGCTTTAAATAGATGGAGGGATGGGTTTCCATCTGCGATCATACATGCCACTTAATTACTAAATAACAATTTGTTTTATATGTAATTATGAATTAAAAGAAATAAAGACAGTCGCTATTTGTTTTCATTGAAGAATATCCACATTGATCAATATATTCAATTAGGACGTAAGAAGCACCATGTGCCCGAAAATTATTAAAATTAAAATTTCAAAGAGGACACGGTACATACGACAGTGTAACGTTGCAGATTACTATCAGAATTGTAGCCCCGATGGGAGGGTACGTGGCTGAGTCGCACCCAAGCTTTTTAAGACAAATACAACATGCTCAATAAATGTAAATAACCAACAAGTGCCGCGGAGCGACAGCGCTCATCTAACGTCTACTGCGGTGACTCTGTGGTGGAGTGGTGGGATTCTAGTAAACCCTGTTAGTCCCAAATGTGTTCACATACACGCCGACACGTTGGAATGCACAAGGGATGGTATCAGAACCTTCCAAAGGAATGTTCGTTGGATCGTTATGAAAGTTGCCACGAGATGGCGCGTACGTTTAAGTGTCTTCAGATTAAAGATGGAAGCTCCATCAAACGTAGTACAACAAGCTATTTTGCAACAGCAGATAGGTAGCACTCATCCATTTACCTACGCAAGCTACAGGCTGCAATAGACAGCTGCCACTGTAACCAATTAACGCAGGCAAAACTACACACTACGCAATAACACATGCACTGGCAGTAGCCAACTGGCAGTGCGCATACGCTTACATGTAACATACTGACAGTACAGAATGCATAGAAATTATTACCGATTTAAGCAGCATAAACCTTCTTTAACCAAATTTAGCTTTTTTGAATTTCACTGTGACATTGTAAGCCTCATACATCCAGGCATGTATAGATTCTACTAGCAAACCGGCAGTCAAATTTCTTTCTAACAGACAGGCAACAAAATCCAATGTTATAACCCTCCATCTTGAGGGTCAAAAGTTATCTGACACTTACTCTCGCATGTCAGCAGAAAGTAGATTTCATGGTCCTTTCATAATGCCATAAAAATGCTAGGTCACCGCTGAAAACAAAAAAGTTTTTCAATCGCTCCGTCAGACATGTCCTCAGAAATGTCTAAAATCTGCCCTGTGCCATTGACGCTTTGACGCTGGACTCCAATGTTCGGCATAGCGAGGCTCTCCTACCATGATGCTATACACCGACTATCAGCGAGCCTAGTCCGAGCCGTTTAGTATTTTGTGGGCCGCAATTTCTGCAATTCCATCAGCGCTATAGCCTTAAGTTAAGGACCGTGAATGTTCCCCGCTTCTTTTTACACCTCTTACCTTGACTTTGAACGCCCCAGCTTCGATCATACCCAACCTCGATTCTTCGATTACCCCCCACGTCCCCGAAGTATC